GGAATGGGGAAAAAATAAGAACCAAGATCCATCATGTAGAGGTACAAGTTCCCAATGAGGAATGTAAATATGTTGTATACCCAAAATGTATCAATAAAAGAATTTAAGAAAAATAAAAAAGAATTAAGTTTAGGGCCAGGGATTTAGCTCAGTGGATTTGCCTTCTGCTGCGAAAGTGCAAGGACCCGAGTTTGATCCCCAGTACCAAAAAAATTTAAGTTTACATGCCAGGCATGGTGGCACACACCTGTAATCCCAGCACTCAGGAGGCTGAAGCAGGAGGATCGCAGAGAGTTTGAGACCAGCCTGAGCTACATAGTTCAAGGCCAGCCTGCATGGCAAAGCAAGACCTTGTCTCAGAAAACAAAAATAAAACTTTTTACTGTAGTTTTATACTTTAGTACTTTCATCATAATCTGTTGATAACTGTTATATGCCTGATAAAAATGAAATGAAAAATATAGCATTGGATTTCAAATCAAAAGGACGTCTTTTTTAAGGCTTAAATATGAGAAGCCTAAAATTATTGCTGCTTGTTACAAGATGAATTAGAAATGGAAAATAGGTTTATGCACTGGTTAAAAGGATAGCTAAATACCTAATAAACTGGAAATTTTAATTTGCTAAAGTTTTGGGTTTTTTTGTATTAGATCTCGGGATCTTCTGTAAAACACTCCTAATTGATATAAGTAATTTTAAAGCATGGTACACTTTTTTTTTTCCCTCTTTCAGTATAATAATCATGAAATTCGTTCTGGAAAACACATTGGTGTCTGCATCTCAGTTGCCAACAATAGGCTTTTTGTGGGCTCTATTCCTAAGAGTAAAACTAAGGAACAGATTCTTGAAGAATTTAGCAAAGTAACAGGTAAGTTGGATTTATTTTGTAGAAGGTGCAGCTTTTTAATATTGAGGGTAATAGTAAATTACTGTGTACCAAGCATTATTCTAAGCACTACATTTGTTGACTAATTCAATCTTCACAACTTTTAAGAGGTAGGTAATCCCATTTTCTGGATAAGGAAAACAAGCACGAGGAAGAGAGTTTTGGCAAGTGACTTGTTCAAAGTTACTTATTTATTCAAAGCATGTTAGTAATGCAGTCGGAATTTGAACTTATTCTGCAAAATCATTGTTGTGCTTCCCTTATTTTGCATTTTTTTGTGTGTATTTTTCTAGGTATTAGCTGAGAGCAGTAGAGCTGTATGAATGATTTGATTTTCCAAATTATTATTATGAATAATGAGTATTCTTGCCATAGAAAAGATTATATATTGGTAATGTGATGTAATTTCTATGAAATTAAAATATCTTTTGTAACTTCAAATGACAGGCTACTTGTACTATAAAATGTTTGTGTCTGTGTACAGTGTTATTTATTGGTCTTTAAGTCTTTAGGAATGTTCAAAATTCTTAGTAATATTTATTATTTCCTTTGGAAAAAAGCCATTGATACCTGAGGATAGAGAATGCCATTAAAGAGAATTTTAGTGTTTGCTTGCATAGTAATAAATATCTAATCATTTTTGACCTATGCTGGCATTTTCTTAAACAATTATATAAAGATTTTTAAAAATTTTCCCTTAAATTCTTTTATTGGTACATTTTAGGTATACAATATATTTACCTTTATCATTGGGAACTTGTACCTTTACATGATGCATCTTGGTTCTTATTTTT